GTTTGATCAAGATGCGATATTCCTGTTTTTCCATTTTTTTTTACGAAGGCGAAAGTAGCGTCAAACGACTGTAGCTTGTAAACGACTGTAGCTTGTAAACGAATGGACGAAATGTCATGAAACTTCATATATAAACTAGTGACAGATAAGCCTCTCGAAATGAGTCATGTTCATTTTCTAGTGGCACCACCTATTGAAAAATCCCGGGACTTTTCAGCCCATGTAGTATATATAGGATTTTTTTAAATTGTCCGAGTATATAAAAATCATGGATGATAAAGAAACATGTAGATCATGGAACGATATTGTTTCCGATGAGGAAATCGTTATTTCTGGTATTGCTGGCAGATTTCCTAATTCGGATAATATGAATCAGTTACGAGAAAATTTATTCAATAAAATTGATCTTGTAAAAGATCATGACCGATGGAAAATAGGTAATTAAATCATATTTATTGTTATATATTATACTTTTACATTCATGCTTGATCAGTTAAGAATATGCTACGCTTTCTGTCTGTAGTAAACATAATTACATATTTATATGTCAATGATGTATACCTCAATTTTTTAATTTTATATAAAATTTTATATAAAAAGATAAATAAATGAGATAAAATTCTAATGTAAATACATCTATTTTTAGAACATGCGGAATTTTCATGTCGTACAGGTACTGTTAATAACATAAAAAAATTTGATGCGGATTTTTTTGGATTATCTTTTGAGCAAGCACACACACTTATACCCGAAACAAGAATGTTACTGGAACATTCTTATGAAGCAATTCTAGATGCGGGAATAAATCCAAAGCAATTACAAGGAAAAGATACTGCTGTGATCATAGGGATATCTGTTATTGATGCACAAGAGAAGTTCCTATATGAAGATTTTCAGGTAAAGGAAATTATTGAACAATTTCTAAGAAAATCGGATAAAATGGGTTTTTTTAACTGCTTGAAATTTTTGTTACGTGATATACGTATACATCATTTTAAATAATGTGTGAACACATGCCTCTCTAAAATTTATTTTCATTAAAGTTTTTCACATGTAAGTTTTTATAAAAGTGAGCACCCGCTCTACTTCGAAAT